CTGTCTTGATGCAGGTAAAACTCTGGGCGGGGGGGCTGCAGTCCCTGTCCAGGGGGAAGGGAAAACTCCAGGCTGAGGGAGGAGGGGGGTGGGGTGGGAGAAGCCCTGTCACCTGGGGTTGGTGCTTTCCCTCCCACACATGGCCCTGCTGGTGGGGGAGGAGGGGGCTGGGGTGAGGAGGCCCAAGTGTGTTGGGGGGGGGGGGGGCCCATCCATGGCTCCCCCACAGTTGGGGAACCCCAGGCAGTGGGAGCCAGCCACAGTTGCATCCATGTTGCATAGGTGGATGACCCTCTTGAGCAGGATGTCGTTGATGGCTTGGACAACCTGCAGAAGAGAGTCATCTGCCTGCAGGACATGGACGCAACCATGGCTGGCTTTGCCGCCCTGGAATTCCTTAACTGCAGGGGAGCCATGGATGGGACCCACATCCCCATCCAGGCACCAGAGCATCAAGCGGCCCACTTCATAAATCGGAAGAAGTACTTCTCGATAGTGCTCCTGGCTCTTGTGGACCACTGAGGCTGCTTCCTGGACATATAGATGGGGTGGCCAGGAAAGGCACATGATGCCCACATCCTCCGAAACTACAGCCTGTTTTGCAGGATGAAGGCAGGCACTTCCTTCCGGATGTGCCCATGCCCCTGTGCATCATGGGGGACGCAGCCTACCCCCTCATGCCCTGGCTGATGCAGCCGTACATTAGACACATGGACCCCAGAAGGGAAACATTGAACCAGAGCCTGAACTGGGCCCACAACTAGGTGGAGTGCGCCTTTAGATGGCTGAAAGCAAGATTCCGTTGTCTGCTCACCAGTCTCGAAATGATTGTCACAGCATGTTGCGTGATGCGTGATGGACCAGAGGGGGAGGCCTACCTCCCGGGGTGGATGGTAGGCAAGGGCCGGGCATTCAAGGAGCCCTGTATAGCCGCCATCCGGCAGGAGCACTATGATGGGGTGCGCATCCGAGAGGCCGTCAAGGAGATGTTCTCCCAGGCCCCACACTAGGGTCACTTCCGTCTGGCGTCCACATCTCCCTCCCATCCCCAACTCTTCCCTCCAGCCTTCCCTCACCTCACAATAAACACAACTGGTTTTGGTTAACAAACAAGAAACTTCATTATTTACATAGGGACAAAGAGTGGGCAGTGGGAGGGGGAGGAGGAAGGGGCTCTGAACTGGGAGGGGGAAGTTATTGCTGGGAGGTGTGGCTCCTCCCAGAGCATTCGCGGATGCGGAGGCCTCTCCCCCCTTCAGCCCTGGTTGGGGCAGGCAGCACGGGAAGATGGGCAGGATGGGGTGCAGCAGGAGGGGACATGGATGCAGAAGGAGGGGCGACAGGAAGCACCATGGCTACGGCAGGGAGCATGGCCACGGCAGGGAGGGTAGCAGAGTGGGGCACGCCATGCCATAGTGCACGGCATGGCCAATGTGCGACATCAGCACAGCAATGCTGTCGCACACGCCGTCGCAGCAGTGGAGGAACTGGCCCCACACCTGCTGCCACCACTCCCGGTCAGTCCGCAGTTTGGTGCTGATCGCCTCCTCCATCCCCTCCACGGCCTGAACGTGATGCTGAAGGAGCTGTTCATGCTGCCTGGCCCATCGGACTGGTGCCTGGGTGGTAGGTGCCGCTGCTGCAGGGTCCCTCGCTCCCAGGTGGTCCTGCTGCAGAGAACACAGAAAAAGGCAAGGCGGTCACTCAGCCCTGCCCATAGTGTCCCTGAGCCCTCTTCCCTGAGCCTCACGTGACACCACACAACTGTGGCTTGGGCCCAATCGATCCCCTGTGTGTGTGTGTTCACATAAAGGACTAGCTCAAAATCCTGGGAGCGAAGTGATCCTCCATGGATTATAACACTTGGGAGACATCACTATGAATGAAGACCCCTTGTCTGTGTCGTAGCCAGTTGGCATGCTGTGTCTGTCTGTCTGCATAGCACTGTCTACATTCCCTCCCCACAGTAGAGCACATGGCTTCTACTCTTGTCACTATCTGAGAGCATACACCATTGATGCTGTAGTCATGTTTGCATGCACATCCCCACAATGCATGGGAGCAAGTGTGGCAGATAAGGTCTGGGTTCTCATACTACTGTCACTGATTTCCTCGGAGATGGAGCCAGGGCTACTGGGAGTGTACCGTCCCTGCAGCAAGTCTCAGTGGGCCACAAGCCCGGGCTGCCCGCACTCCTGCTCCCTCTCCCTCAGCCCTCGGACAACTAGCCCAGGGAAGTGTGTGGCTACAGCGGGGGTGATTCCCACGGGGGCAGCAGAGGGGTCGGGAGCAGCCTAGGGTCTCCATGGGGGCCACAGTCATAGGGCTGGCTCGCTGCACTTTTCCCAGGAGCAGCTGTGTGTCACACAAGCAGGCATGGCTAAGTGCTGTCTTTGTGCAGCATCCTTCAGGATGTATGGAGTGTGGCCTGCGCCATTGGAGTGTGGCTGCTTCCAGCCACCATCTTCCCTCCCTCCCCCGGGCAGGACGTGTGTGAGCAGCAGGGTCCAATGCATGCCCTAGAGCTGCCTACCACATCCAAGTGCCACACAGTCAGGCTGCACGTGCTGCGTACTGCTGCACAGTGTGCAGCTCAAACTGCCTGCGTGATGCTTCCTTCCCACCCCGGGGCACCTGGCTCCCCCGCCCTTGCAAGTGAGAACCACAACACTCACCAAAGGATCCGTCACCAGCCTCGGACGAGGCCCGGGAGACGTCCCGGCTGCTGGGCACTGACTCGAGGTGGAGGGTGATGGTGCGGTCTTCTCCCTTGTCCTCCGATGCAATTGTCAGGTCACCCTCCGCCTCCAGGTCAGGCAGCCTGACCACCGAGATGCGCAGTCCGGTGTCAACCACTGGCAAGGGTCCTTGGACTGCCGTCTCCCCAACAATGGCATGCAATTGGTCATAGTGGGGGCAGGTGTCGGCTCCCCCCCCCCCCGCCCTCAATAGCCCTGACATAGCCCAGGCGCAACTCCTTGACCTTGTCCCGGACCTTTCAAAGGTCTGGGCCGGATGTCCCTGGTCCGTAAGCACCTGGGCCATGCGGCCGAAGATGCTGGCGTTGCGTCGCCGGGACCAGGGGTCATGGAGAGCTTCCTCCTGCGCCCAAAGGTCCAGAAGGGTCTCCACCTCAGTCCCAGACCATCATGGGGCTCACCAATTGCTGCCCCTCCAAGCCTGCTGGAAGCCCTGGGGTGGCTGCTGGGAGGAGGGTGCAGGCTCACGGGGTGGCTCACGGGATGGCTCTGGAGTGGACATCTGGGCCTCCTGGGTGCAGCAGGCAGAGCCATGAGGTGGAGAGCTGCCAGCTATGCTGCTGCTGCTGCTGCTATGCAGTATCTGCACGGTGCCTGTGCCTTTAAGGGAGGGGTGGGGTCCGACAAGCAGGAAGTAGTGAGCTGTGAATCCGGTTACAGAGCGTCCAAACAGCCATCTGCATTTTTTCCTGGGAGGTCAGTTTTTGTGCAAAAACTCCCTGCTGCCTGTCCACACTGCCCACATGTGCAAGAAGGCTTCTTCCTCATACGGAGCGTCAGAGCTCTTGCACAAGCCCTCTGTTCTGACACTGTACTGTAAATTTACTTGCACAAGAACGCGTGTGCAGTGTAGACGCTGTGCAAGTTTTTGCGCAAGAATGGCCGTTCTTGCGCAAAAAGCCTACAGTATAGACTTAGCCCTAAGGTGGCTAATAGTTTTTTAGAGCATTCCCTCATTTTAATTAATAACTGAGTCATGTGTAAAACTTGCTAACTCACTGGTCACTGACAGGATGCTGTAGATATAGAATACTGAAGCCAGTAGCAATCACTTAGGAACACAACTATTGACAACTTTACATGATGAAAACTGGAACTGTATTTAGACTCTGCTTTCTTTTCATTCAAAATTCTCTGTGTGTAGGTTTTCAGATTACTATTATAGAATGATACCAGATCTTCTCAACATTTCTTAATTATGAAATCAAGTTTACAACTGGTGAGTGACTAAACACCAAGATCCTGTAGGACAACATTTTCAAAAATAGGAAGTTAAAATCCATATCCATTTTAGGCAAGAATTTTCAAAGCCCCTAAGGGTATGTCTAGACTGCACCCCTATGCCGGCAGAGGGATGCAGATTAGGCTGGGCGAAATTGCTAATGAAGCAGGGATTTAAATATCCCTCTGTTTCATTAGCATAAAAATGGCTGCCACTTTTTTCCAGCACGGAGCTTTGTCGGAGAAAAGTGGCAGTCTGGAGGCTGATCTATCGCTAAAGAAAGCCTTTTCCAATAGATCCCTTATGCCTCGTAAAACAAGGTATACAGGATATTTAAATCCCCACTTCATTAGCAATTTCGCCCAGCCTAATCTGTGTCCCTCTGCCGGCATAGCCCTAGAGCTATGTCTACACTCACGGCTTCTAGCGCAATATGCAAATGAGGCTAAGCGTGGAATATCGCTGAGCCTCATTTGCATACCTAATGAGCCACCATTTTTTTCAGAAGAGGCTCTTGCACAAGAAGGAGCATCTATACCGCCCCTTCTTGCGCAAGAAAAATCCTCTTGCGCAATGCCGTTCTTCCTGAAAAGTAATAGGTGTAACGGCATTGCGCAAGAGGGTTTTTCTTGCGCAAGAAGGGGCAGTGTAGACGCTCCTTCTTGCGCAAGAGCCTCTTCTGAAAAAAATGGTGGCTCATTAGGTATGCAAATGAGACTCAGCAATATTCCACGTTTAGCCTCATTTGCATATTACTCGTGCAAGAAGCCGCGAGTGTAGACATAGCCTAGGTGTTTTTAGAGCAGAACTCCACTGAATTCAATGGTACTCGTGTTCCTAGGTCACTTAGGCACTTGGAAATTACCACCCAACAAGCTAACTTTAGCTACTGTGGGGATTTTTTGGTTTTGGTTAAGGATTGTGGTCAGAATATTTTCAAAATTGTAAATATTAGAGTGGAATAGAGATTTTATGTTGCAAAGCACATTTGTCTCAGCAGAAGAAATCAGGTGACCTACCTAATGTACTCCAGAGCGCTTGTTATCTGTGGTTGTACAACATCATAAAGTTTCACTCTGAGGCCGCCACCAGCAAACACCATAGCCCAGCTGCGACCAATGATTCCGCTAAAGAGAACATAAATAAATGTTTATGTATATAACTACATAGTTCACTTCTGCACCACTGAAAGGATTGCATTAAATGAGTATTGACTTTTGCTATCTGGGGAAAATGTGTACTGAATGAAGTACACTACAACATAGCTTTGATTTGTCTGAACACCATTATAAGTATACAAATAACCAACTGCTGCTGCACAGCCAGCATAGGATTTCTGGGGGGCAAATGTAGAGGTGGGACTAGAAAAGAAGAAAGAAAAGTAAAAGAGGGGAGGACAAAGAGGGAGCACAAATAATTATTACTAATATTTTTTATTTAAACTGTTAAAATAAGCGCTCAATGATAAACAAATCACTGAAAACCTAGTACAGTGAAACCTTTGTTATCCAGCACTCTGTTAACCAGAAAACTTTATTAACTGGCATTGCCCCCAGCCAGAATACTGTCACATCTTCAGGCACACAGGCCTGGCTTGGTTTACCATGCTTGGCTTAACATTTTTTTATTTAAGAAGTACTAATCATCTTTAACTCAAAATAGAAATGTGGGACTAACTCCCTCACACTACAAAACTATCAATATTAAAAACTTGAGTTTTACTATTATTGTCCATTGGTTTTTCCTAGGATGATGGGAGCCTCAGATAACCAGAACACCTTAATCCCTGAGCATGCCGGATAACACAGGTTTTACTGCACTCTGTTCTAGGGATGTGAATGTTTAACTGGTTAACCATTAAGTCTCACTCCAAACAGGTGAGGTTAGCTGGTGCAGCCCCTGCCAGTGCTTGGTCAGTTACTCTAACCTGGCTAGAGTGGCCCCCTCACCAACCCCATCTTTAGTTAGTTAACCAATATGTTTAACCAGTTAACCAATTAAATGGATTTTTACATCTCTACTCTGTTCTGAGCTACACTTCCTGGACAGGGCAGTTCAGGAGGTACAACAGAGTATGAAAAAGGGATAAATGTGGCTTTAAGGTATCTTTGCATTCTGTAAATTCCTGATACACCCCTAAACTTGAATTAGGAGTGTCTACAGACTGAATGTCACACTGAGATGCAACAACAAGGTGGCATTTATGCCAAAAAACTCAAGTCATCAGCCTTTGCACACATCATGTCATTGTTTGCAGCATGCATAGTAAAGATGAATGGAGAAGAGCACAATGAGAATTCATATTTCCATAGTATCTACCCTCCCAGGATCACAAAGTGATTCACAAGTACTGTATAAATAAATTAAGCTTCACAATACCCATTATCCCTCTTTTACAAATAGGGACACTAATATACAGAGTGGTTAAATGATTTGACCAATGTCACACAGCAAATCTGTAACAAAGCCACGAATAGAAACCAGATCTCCTTATTTCAGGTCTTTTTATTTTTGTTAACTATTTCACCATACTTCCTCATTTGTTGCTAAGACAGAAATTGCTCTTGTATTTTCCTTTGTACTGCATGAATGCCACAGACTTAGAAAGTTTCATTCTATAATACCACATGACCAACAATGAAGAAGGACATGAACAATAGAACCAGCAATAATCCAAGGGCAAAGGAGAGGATGAAGATAAAAGAAAACCAGGAAAGCATTGCTCCAGACTTCAGTTAAAAACAAAACAGGAAATTTTTCAAGGAAACAAAAGGACTCAACTGAAATAATTGGAGCAAAACCAGATTTTAACTTCATGTTAAATGTTGGTTAAATGTTACAAAACTGT